TCAGTATACCACTCCACAGAGAGTCCTTATTACTTAAAAACTCTACCTAAAATAGTCTTTAAAAATTTTTTTTAACTCCTCATGTCCATTATGCTTTCTTGATAATTTAAGTTCAGACCTGTTGTTTTCTTGGTAATCATTAGATTTGATAGCCAAATTATTCTAGAATTCAAATATGAACATCCTTAAGGTGTGACTTTTGTATTTAGATTTCAAACATTGCATTTTAATTATAAAGCTTCAAATTTACTTAGGTTTGTTTCACTAAGCCAGGAAGAGTAAAAATCCACCACTAGAGAGCTAAACATATCAAGATGGTTTGAAGCTGAGTTTGTTAGTACAATCTTATGTGACAAGTGAAATTTTAAATTCTTCATTCTTATACCATCAATTGATCAATTGGTAAAATATGAAACAAAATACAGAATAAATGGGAATCAGCTAAAAAACCAAGAGTCTACAAGTAACATTACAAGATTTATTCTAATCATAAAAACCAATATCAGAATAAGGCAGTTAAGCAATCAGAAAATCTGACAAGTGTCTTTTTTTTTTTTTTTAAATTATTGTTCTTTTTTACATTCTAAGCTGTTGTTGAGCAGTTGAGGTGGAGGGGGAGAGAGGAAGGAGGAGGGGGAGATAGGGTGGGAAGATGAGGAAGGGGGGAGGGGGGTGTGCTAGAGGTTTGTGGCAGCCCCCTCCCCCATTCTAGCAGAGGAACCCAGGGGGCTTCTGGTAGCAACTCAGTCATGGCTGGGCTGGATGTGTATGTCATGGGGAAGTGGCTGAGGCTCTTGGCCCCACCTCCTCAACCCGGCTCAGGAGCCTAGGGCACTTCCAGTGGTGGCCTGCTGGTGGTGGCTGGGCTGGATATGGATGTCGTGGGGCGTGGCTGAGGCCCTCAGCCCCCATCCCCACCCCAGCTCAAGAGCTGTGGGTGCTTCCAGTGGTGGCCAGGTGGTCATTGCTGGGCTGAATGTGGATGTAGAGGCGTTGTGGCTGAGGCCTTTGGCCTCCCACCACTCCAGGTCAGGAGTTTGGAGTGCTTCCAGTGGCAGCCTGGTGGTTGTTGCTGGGCTGGTGGGCTGGATGTGGACATTGGGGGTGGGCATGGCTGAAGCCCTCAGCCACCCCCTTTGCCAGCTTGGGAGTCTGGGGGGTGCTTCCTGCAGAGGCTCAGTAGTCATCGCTGAGCTGGATGTGGACTTTGGGGGGCCTGGCTGAGGCGTGTGGTCCCTCCACCCTGGCTTGGGAGGCTGAGGGGCTTCCAGTCTTTCTAGGTTTTATAGGTTTTCTTTGATGGTGATATAGACCTTTAAGGTTAATATCAAAATTTTGTCTCTGATCTGTGAGTGTTTTGTTTTTTCCTTCAGTTCTGTGTTGGATTATTAGCTACCCCCACTACTTAAACTCTGCACTGGAACTAATTTGTTGTCCTTTGCTTACTTCTAAAAAGGAGGAATTTCCTGTGGGGACCAGCACTTGAGCTCTGTCTGTAGTTGAGCTAAATTGCTGCTTTACTGCTGATTCTCTGGGGAAGGCTTTTTGTGCAGCTCAGATTTTAACTGTTGACCTCATAAGCATTTCTGGGTCTTGTGAGGTCTGGTTTACCTGGGTTGTGTGGAAACTTTGGTCTGGGCCTGAGTTTTTTCAGCAAACTTCATCCCCTGCAGTTCTGTATTCCTGACCAGTGTCCACTGAGTGAATCTGTGCTGACTGGGAGACAGGTCAGCTGTCCATGGTGTCCATCCCCAATGTTCCCCCAGTGGGCCTGTCTCCCTCACTCCAATCACTTCTCATGGGGTGGGCCATGGACCGGTTCCTTGCAATGACTCACCAGCCTCTGCATGGCTCCTTTTTTTATTTGTCTGTGGTCCCTCACTCTTGTGTGTGTCCATGGGAACCTTGTTAGTGGTCTAGCTGGCCTGGGAGCCAACAAAGCCCTCTTCTCCCCTGCAGCCTCCAAGTAACTTCATACAAAGGGCACAGCAGTGGCTTTTACTAGCTCTTGCTCCATGTGCTCACCAGGGCCAGGCTTGAAGTGGCTGGAGCTCGAAACCCCCAAAGTGGTCCTTTCTTTCTCTTGTCACAGCTGCTTCGTCCTTCATACACTCCGTAGGTCTCTCTTCTTCTTTCCCTCAGCTCTAGCAGTCCCAGCTTGGTAGTTGTTCTTTTTTAATAGTTGTACATTAGTTGATTGTGGGAGAGGGTGATGCTGGGGACCAGCTATTCCACCATCTTGACCAGAAGTCAACAAGTGTCTTTAGAATTGTAAAAAAGAGGAATATTCTTTGGGAATCCATGCAGAATTTGCTGTCTGTTCTAGCAGAATTCAGTACAGAACTTTGGAAACCAGGTGAGGTAACTGTGTCCAGAGAAGAGAAGTAAATTATTTGTAAAAGGAAAAAATAAAGAGTGAAAGAACAATTATACCCATACAGAAAGAGAATTATGAAATTAGGAAATGAGCCGTCAGGATAGAGCATTGAACTCTACATTAAATGATATGGGTGCTTTATGGTCTTTGGCTTACTAGGTGAATTTGTTGGCTTTTATGTTTCTGCAGAATTAGAAATTTTGTCTTTGAATCACCTAAGCTAAAATTTCATGGAGAGGACTCTATATTTGTAGTTAGAAGACTTAGTTTTTTTCTTTTTTTGGATATCTTTTAAGTTTATTACAGAAGAAAATGAAGATCTCTTAATATTTAAGACTAAAAATAAAGCATTGGAGCATTTTTTTTCCCTTTAAATTAAAAAAAATTGGAAGTGGTAATACTTGCACTTTTGTAAAAGGAAAAAATAAAGAGTGAAAGAACAATTATACCCATACAGAAAGAGAATTATGAAATTAGGAAATGTGGTCGTCAGGATAGAGCATTGAACTCTACATTAAATGATATGGGTGCTTTATGGTCTTTGGCTTACTAGGTGAATTTGTTGGCTTTTTTTGTTTCTGCAGAATTAGAAATTTTGTCTTTGAATCACCTAAGCTAAAATTTCATGGAGAGGACTCTATATTTGTAGTTAGAAGACTTAGTTTTTTTCTTTTTTTGGATATCTTTTAAGTTTATTACAGAAGAAAATGAAGATCTCTTAATATTTAAGACTAAAAATAAAGCATTGGAGCATTTTTTTTCCCTTTAAATTAAAAAAAATTGGAAGTGGTAATACTTGCACTCTGGTCAAAATTGAAAAGGTCCAGAAGTTTATATTGAAAGATAGGTTTCCCTCCCAGCCATCCCAGTTCTCCTCCCTTTAGGAAACAATATTCCTGGTTTCCTATATATCCTTTCAAAAATTAGATGTGTACAAAGCTTGTGTATGTGTGTACATTATTTTTTTAAGCATATGGTAGCATACCATGCACACTATTTTTTTTTTCTTTTTTTTTTTTAAAAGATGACAAGTAAGGGGAGGATCTTAACCCTTGACTTGGTGTTGTCAGCACCACGCCCTCCCACGTGAGCTAACCAGCCATCCCTATATAGGGATCTGAACCTGTGGCCTTGGTGTGTCAGCACCACACTCTCCCAAGTGAGCCAGGGGCCAACCCTCCATGCACACTATTCTATACCTTTCTTTTTTCATTTAATATATTTTGAAGATAGTACCATCTCAGAACATACAGACGTTCCTATTTTTTAAAAACTTGAGATATAACTCACATTCCATAAAATTCACTATTTTGAAGTATACAATCCACTGGCTTTTGGCATATTCACAAGGTTTTGCAGTTATCTCCACACATTTAAAAGACTTAGGTTTGGGGCCGAGCCCGTGGCGCACTCGGGAGAGTGTGGCGCTGGGAGCGCAGCAGCACTCCCGCCGCGGGTTCGGATCCTATATAGGGATGACCGGTGCACTCACAGCACTCACTGGCTGAGCGCGGTGCGGCCAGTCTCAAAAAGGACAAAAAAAACCCCAAAAGACTTAGGCTTGAATTTTAGCTGTAGCTCTTACCCTCACCCTTAGGTGTATGCTCTTGAATGAGTTGTTTATGTCACAGTGCTATAAATGATAAATTTGGAATGTACATGGAATTCTCTACAACTTCCTAATGTATAGCTTTGGTCAAATTACGAACTGTGCACAGTTTCTTCATCTATAAAATTAAGTTAATGAAAACTGAATACAATAATTTGTGTGTGTGTGTGTGTGTAAAGAGGCTGGCATAGTGCCTATACATAGTAGATGCTCAATAAATGTATTTTTTGTTGTAATTTATTTGTGTTTTTCTGTTTGATGATAGGAGTTTTCAGGGAATATAAAATTTAAAATATTTAGATTTTCTTAATTCTAACCATTTAATATAATGACTTTCCATCCTCCATTGGAAATTTTCAAATGTCTTATTAAGTAATACTATATGTGAAGTAATACATTATAAAATGGCAGGTATTGAAGGACCACATGAGAGCTTAGTAATTGGTATGTTTTTAAAAGTTATTTAAGTATTTCTTTTGCTTGTTGTCTGTCTTTACTTGGCCCTCCAATACCCCCATGCTTTTCTAATTAGAATCTTTTAGATTAGCAACATTTCATTAGTACTACAATACAGGAGTGAAAATTCGCTTTAGGTATGTAAGTGATAACTATGTATAAAGCATGCGGGTGGACACTGGCGCCTGCCCTCTGAAATTTCTTTGTATAGATGAATGGCAACAAGATTAATCATTCAATCGAACTGAATGAGACTGTGTTTGCAGTCTTTCTGTTTCCTTCCTTCCCCCTGTATAGGCTTAGCACAGACCTGAACTCAATTAATATTTAATGAATTGATAAATCTATGAACATAAAATTGGGTGCCAAAATGAATACAGATCCCTACATTTGAATGTCTCATCCTGAAAGCCTGGTCACCACAAGCAGATAGTAACTATTCCAATAGTTGAAGAGATGGATAGTAGACATAAGAGAGGTTGAATAGGATGGCTCTGTCTTGGTGTCTTAATATTTTAGTTAGGTAATAATTTTTCTTTTGTTTTATTTCACATGTAGGGAATTCCAAATGAAAGCTGGAGAATAACAAAGATAAATGAACGATATGAACTTTGTGATACATACCCTGCCCTCTTGGTTGTGCCAGCAAATATTCCTGATGAAGAATTAAAGAGAGTGGCATCCTTCAGATCAAGGGGCCGTATCCCAGTAAGTCTGAAGCTTTGATGAGACTTCGCAAATGCTTTTACACTTACCTAACGCTGAGAGTAATGAATGGGAGGATGGATACAGTACAGAAATAGCAACAGCAGCAAGTCTTTTGCGGGGACATTGGAGATTGAGTTATTTAGTAAGATTAAAACTGGAGGGAAGACTTAAAGAGGTTTCTGGATAATCTTGGCATGTATTAGATAACTGCGCAGAATTGCATGGTTCTTAACTAGGAAAGAAAGTTTGCTCTGTGCATTATTCATTTTTTTTTATCTTATTATACATTCTTTGGTCATGGTGCTAAATGTTCTCTTCCTTTAAGTCCTAGAAATAACAAAATTTTACAAATTTATGATGAATAACTGGATCCTAGAAAGATCAACTCAAATACTTTGGGGTACAAAATTCACAGAATCTGAAGACTTTAGATTTGGGTAGTTTTACTGATACAGTAATAAAACTTTAAAAGTGGGATTTATTTAGCCCTGGGTTTTTTTGTGTGTGTGTTTTGTTGGTTTTTTTTTTTTTTTTTTTTTTTTTTTTTTGTAACATCATTTTAATGGTGGAATAATCAACTGCTGTTGAATATTCAGCTTATTTCTTTTTAAAAATTTTTTGCTATTATAAACAATGTTTGGATGAACAGCCTTTTATTTAAATTGTGGAGGATATACCCAGTTATTTCCATGTTGCTTAGCTTTTTGACGTTATTGTGATTTCCAAGCATTCTCTATTAAGCTCTAAATATTTCTCCTTAAAGGAGACAAGGGAGGGGCATGGCATCCTAAACCATTATCAGTTAATACTTTAGTTACAGGGCATAAAGATGAAATGAGATAATTTGTGTGTGAAGCCTTAGCCCAGGGACTGGCATGTATTCTTCCAGTAATTGCTTGTTCCTCTCCCTAAGCTTTATACCGTGAGTTAGCAGGAATGAGACTTAGGATTGTTTTCTAGGATAAGAGGAAAGGAAGAGAGGAATGTAATGCAGAAAAGGTGGTGGGGTAAAATATAAGATTCCTCACCTTATTTTTTCTAATCATTCCCACACATACCTCATTATAAAAATCCCTTCTTTTTTAATTTGCAAAAGTATACATCTTTATTGCAAGAGATGTTTTTTACCTGCATACTAAAAACATTTTTTATAGCGTAATGAATTATTACATGACAAAGGCTCTTGTAGTCTTGACCCATGTCAAGAAGTCTAACTGCCAGCCACTAAGTCCTTCACATGTATGTGCACACCACCCCAATCAATTTCACCTTCTACCCCTATCAAAAGTAACCACTATCGTTTCATAGTAATAATTTCTTTGTATTTCTTTATACTTTTATTACCAAAGTGTACATACTTAGACTCTGTAATAGTCTTACCTTTTAAAATACTGTACTTGATATGTCCTTTAAATCTCTCTTCATCTATAGTCCTCCCCTTTCCCTTTTATATGTATATATTTTTCTTTTTTAAATTTTATCTGTAGAGCTCTCATAGTCTGGATTTTGCTGATTGTATCATGGTGTGGTTCAACTTTCTTCTGTCCTCTGAATTTCCTTCAAATGAATCCAGAAGTTTATTCAGATTTAGGTTCAGTCCCTTTAGTAAGGCTATACGTGGTACATCAGGAAGCACGTAATTTGTGGTTGATTCTCCTTTTTGAGATGTTAGCAGCGGTTGATGCTCAGTGCCCAGGAACATTAATTCATTAGTGGGTAACAAAATGGTCATAATCTCATTTTGTGATTTCTTTTTTGGCTATTATTTCTCTTATCTGTATTTTGGATAACCAGCAGTTCAGTTCATATAAGAAAGACAGGATAAATGCTTGATTCTTGGCTGGCTGGTTATTTCAGTTGGTTAGAGCATGCTGTTGTAACACCAAGGTTGAGAATTCAGACCAGCTGCCAAAAAAAAAAAAAAAAAAAATTCCTTGATTCTTCTTATTTACCAGTTTTCCCAGTAATGAATTTACTCCCTCTCATCCCTTAAAGGTAACTAATTTTTTAAGTCTCATTATGAACTCATGTATTTCGATGTTTCTGACATTTTCTAATCCATTACAAGTATTATTTTTTTGAAGTAAAAAATTGTCTTATCTTTGTTCAGAGGGAATCTTTTCAGGTTATCTCCTGAGGTTTTTTTGACACAACCATAGTAATCTTTGCTGTCTCGTATGACAGGAAGTACTAGATTCATCAGTAAATCTAGTGCATTTCCTGCCCTAGACTGGAATAGCCATTTCTCCAGGAAGTTCTGGTTTCTGTTAGTAGGAAAAAGTATTTCAAACCATTATCTGGGTGCTAACGATGCTTATTTGCTACTTGGTTGGTTCTATTTCTAGATCTTTTCAGTGGACAGAATTAGGAAATATATTTTTAAATATAAAAGTACCCCATGAGTTCATACTGATGCTTTCAATTTAGTCAGTATTAACAAGTTTTTACATAACATCTTCAATATTACTATATCAGTATCTCCATTTTTCCACACCAAGCATCCTGGTTCTTAAGGACACAGGAAGTGATAAAATTAGTGTGTCCCATAGTTACCCATTTGCTTTATCCCACCACAGTCTCGGAATAACAATGTTAATACTACCATCACCAGTACAATTACTGAAAAGTTAAATTTTGTTTTTGCATTTGTTCTCCCCATTCTTTCCTATTTTTAAGACACTTTTTATTATATCTACATTGTCAAAGCATATATCCTTTACATATTTTCCCTTTTATACACGTTCTCCCTTCTACGTATTACTTCAACAAGTAGCTATATATTTTGTGCTCACAACCAATGCAGCCAGATTCCTACATGGATGTCTTTCTAGTCAGTTTTTCTTTTTTTTTTTTTCGTCTGAAGTTGTTTTCTAGTAAATATTTTATATTCCTATGGAGAAATAATACTTAAAAAACTTTGCTATTGGCATAAGGTAGCAAAAGTCGACTAATTGAACAGAAAATACAGAAACTAATTTATATTTTTTTGTGAACTTGATTGGCATTGTAGATCACTAAAAGGTGCAGGATAATTGGTTATCTGTAGAGATAATAGAAAAAACTGAATCTCAAGTTCTGCTCAATATCAAAAACAAATATCAATTCAGGGGTATTAAAGACAAATGTAAAGTGCAAAAGTATAAACATTTTAGAAGACTGTATAAGAAAGTAATTTTATTACTTTATGTATTAGTCCATTTTGCATTGCTATAAAAGAATTACCTGAGACTGGGTAATTTATAAAGAAGAGAGGTTTATTTGGCTTATGATTCTAGGACAGCTACATCTGGCATGGGCCACAGGCTGCTTCTACTCATGGAAAAAAGTGGCAGGCAGCTGGTGGGTACAAGCAGATCACATGGCAATAGGAACGAGAGGAAGCAAGAGAGAGGGCAGGTGCCAGGGTCTTTTACACAACAAGCTCTCATGCGAACTGACAGAGTGAGAATTCACTCATTAATCCCCCCACCTACGGAGAGCATTAATCCATTCATGAGGGATCCACCCCCATGACTCAACCACTTTCCAACACTGCCACATTGGTGATCAAATTTCAACATGAGTTTTGGAGGGGACAGCACATCCAAACTCCATCATTCCACCCCTGGTCCCCCAAAACTCATGTCCCTTTCACACACAAAATACAATTATTTCATCCCAACAGTCGCAAAAGTCTTAGCTTGTTCCAGCACCAACTTAAAAGTCCAAAGTCCAAAGTCTCATCTGAGAACAAAAGCAAAGGTCCTTCCAGCTGTGAATGTGTAAAAATCAAAAACAAATTTATCTACTTCCAAGATACAATGGTGGAACAGACATTGGGTACACATTCCCATTCCAAAAGGGAGGAATAGGACAGAAGAAAGGAGAAACAGGCCCCAAACAATTTTGAAACCTAACATGACAGACATTAAGTCTTAAAGCTCCAAAATTATCTTCTTTGATTCCAAGTCCTGTGTCCTGGGCATAATGGGGCATCTGGGCCCCCAAAGCCTCGGGCAGCCTCACTTCCATAGCTCTGCCAGGGGTAGTCCACTGAACAGTGCTGGTGCCTCTGGCTTTTCCAGACCTGTGTTGCACGTTACCAGTGACCCTACAGTTTTGGGGTCCTGGCAGCTGCCTGGCTGCCTTGACTCTACTAGACATTTCCCTGGTGGGGGCTTTCTGTGGGAGCTCTGACCCCACTTTCCTGCTCAGTGTTGCTTTAATAGATGGTGTCTGCCATGGCTCCACCCCTGCGGCAGGTCTCTGCCTGACCCCCAGGCTTTTCCATAGATCCTCTGAAATCTGGGTGGAGGCTTCCATGCCTCCACTGCTCTCGTGTCCTGCCAGCCTACAGACTTAACACGATGTGGATGCCACCAAGGCTTCAGGCTTCTACTCTTCAGAGCTGCTGTACCAACCACACTTGGTGCTGTTTGAGGCAGGGCTGCTTTAGCCAGAGCAGCTGGGATGCTAGGAGCTGGTTCCTGAGTGCAGTTGTGCCCCAGGTCTGTCCTCCAGGATAACTCAGTCCTTCTAGCCCTCAGGGTCTGTGATGGGAGGGGCACCTTTTCAGACTTCCAAAATGCCTTCAGGGCTTTTCTGTCATTGTCTTGGCTATTAGCATCTGGCTGCCTCATCACCAAACTAATGTCTTTAGTAACCAGTTTATTTGCTTCTTACCTTGCATTTTTCTCCTACTCTCTGCTTCTCTACCACATGGCCTGGCTGCAAATTTTCCAAATCTTTATGCTCTGCTTCCCTTTTAAATTCTGGCTTTACATCATGCCTTTGTTGCCATAACTCAGAGTAGGCTGTTAGAAATAACCATGCAGCTTCCTTAGTGCTCTGCTGCTTAGAAATTTCTCCCACCAAACATTCTGATTCACAAACTAGTAAGTCCCACCTTCCACAAAGTCCTAGGGCATGGACACATTGCAGCCAAGTTCCTTGCTATGGTGTTGCAAGGGTGATCTTTTGTCCAGTTCCCAATAAGTTCTTCATTTCTATCTGAGACCTCATCATCTGCATGGTTTTAACTGTCCACGTTCCTTTCAACATTCTGATCACAATGATTTAACCATTTAACTCTAAAACGTTCCAAACGTTCTCTCATCTTTTTGTTTTCTTCTAAGTCCTCCAAACTCCAGCATTTGCCTAATACCCAGTTCCAAAGCTGATTCCACATTTTCATGAATCTGTATAGCAACACCCCACTCTTCAGTACCAATTTTCTGTATTATTCCATTTGTGTTGCTATAACAGAAATACTGGAGACTACGTAATTTATAAAGAACACAGGTTTATTTGCTTACGATTCTGGGACAGCTGTGTCTGGGATGGGCTGCTTCTGCTCATGGCGGAAAGTGGCAAGTAGCCAATGGGTACAAGCAGATCACATGTTAAGAAGAAGCGAGAGAGAGAGAGAGAGAGAGAGGACGTGCCAGGGTCTTTTAAACAACCAGCTCTCTTGGGAACTAATAGAGCAAGATCTCACTCACTACTCCTCCTCCCTCAGGGAGAGCATTGATCCAATCATGAGGGATCTGCCCCCATGTCTCAATCAGTTTCCAATACTGCCACATTAGTTATCAAATTTCCACATGAGTTTTGGAGGTGTTGTGAGGCTGCTGCACAGAAAAGAAACCAGAATACCCAATTGAGAATTTAAAAGGGGGTCTTTATTGACCGGCCAGCAACTGTCCCTCCAAGAAGGTCTGGGAGGAGAGCAGCCCTGACTTGAAGTTTAGAGGGTTTTTTAAAAGGCACATTTTTACATTAGTCACACAGTTAAAATTATCAAATAGTCACACACTTATAGTTATCATATAGTCATACACATATACACATACCCTCCTGGCGTGAGGAGTGGGTTTGGGGAGGCCTAGCACAAGCTAATAACAGAAGCTGAAACAAGCTAGTTAATCGCTCAGGAGCAGCTTGGGTGGGGGATAGCAAGCAAAATTTAAACTTCTCTAAGTGCAAGCTAATATTTAGCTTTTAACTTCTATTAAGGGGGCTGAAGAGCTGAGGGGTATTTTCAAACAACAACATTTTCTAAGCAATTCAAACACTGTTTAAACTTAATCAATCTACCTTGTCACACAGCAAGCAGTTTTACAGAAGCGAATTTCGTATGTAATGAAAGTGGGGGTCATCCTATTTCACTACACGTCCAAACTCCATCACTTACTTTCTGATATTTCCTGGCTCCATACTGTCTCTCCTACCCTGTACCCACACCCACACTTACACCTACCCTAACCTAACCTCTTCCTCACACTCTACCCACACACATTCTTTTTTCTAGACCTTCTCTTCCACTGGTACCCACACCCACACTTACACCTACCCTAACCTCTTCCTCACACTCTACCCACACACATTCTTTTTTCTAGACCTTCTCTTCCACTGTCTCTGCTACCTCTGTCCTGCTCAATTTTCATTATACTTTCAGCAGGAGGGATCCCTGGCCAGTCAGTTAGGGTAGTTTATAAGTGTTAGACTATGTTGGCTCCTTTACCTCTACTGTAGGCCCTTTATACTCATCAGCTATTAGAATGCACAGAACCCCTCCCAGTTTCAGCTGCATTTCTTAGGTTGATCTGTTGTGCTTTTCTGTAGTTCTAGAAAAAGAAAGCCAAAACAACAAAGCAGAACAAATAATAAAAATTATACGATGCTCTCGAGGTTCTCCTGTGTCCATTTCTTCTGCTTCCTTTCATTCACTGATAGCGGCCAGATCTTGTGGCTGTTGGTAGTTTGCCCCACCTGTTGGTATTTTGGAATTCAGTGGAATATTTTGTCACCTAGTTCTGTTTTAAGTGATTTTTGTGCATTGTTGGTTTTACTAATTGCTCTTTTTTAAAATACCAGCTTTATGGAGATATAATTCACTTACCATGAAATGTATTCTTTTAAAGTGTACATTTCAGTGTTTTTAGTATATTCACAAAGTTGTACAACTATCACCACTATCCACTTCCAGAGCATTTTCATTATATGTGTTTTTGTGATGGGTTCTGTATAGTTGTTACTATTGACATCTTTCTAGAATTTGTTCCAACAAATTTGAATTGAAAGTCCCTCCACCCCTGACCTGTCCTGTTCCCACTATTTAGAAGTAATCCTTGTTAACAGGTACCCACTGAAACACTGTTAATTTTGTAACTGTGATAGTACTGAATCCACACTATTTCCTAGACTATCAGTGTCAGAAAGGAAGCCTGAACTTCTCTTCTTTTGGTAATTTATTGTTGATTAAGAACTGGTGACTTTTGTTGTTTTCAAAGGTGTGAGTCATATGATCCCTTAATTTTATTTAACTACAGTGGCTGTTCCAGTGTTTTCCTAATTTGTTTCTATTAGGGCTCTAAGAAGTGTGATTTTATGCATGAGTTAGGTAGGATATAGGGGAATATTTTATTCATAAAATATAAAAAGTCCAGAAAAATTAGATTCTCTTTTCCAGCTATAGCTGAGTTTGAACAGCAAGTATTTCCTCATTCTGTTCTGTAGATGCAAAGTTAAGTCTTTTAGGATAGTGATGACAAATAGCATTCTGTGCTTTTATACTTGTTCTGTCTTACTTGTAAAGAATTATGTGGTTAAAATAGAAGCAAGTTATTATCATTTCAAATAATTTATTTTGAAAATATTAAGATTAAAATGAGATGAAGAAGCAGGGAGGTGAAGGAGCATGGGTGAACCAGACGTGTGGTCCCTGCACATGGAACTTGTAATCTGGTGATTTCAGTAAGTATGCAGGGAACTCTTCTGTAAGAAATTGTTTAAGTGGAATTTGAAATATGGGCAAGGAAAACTTAATGATGTAAAATGTTTAAATACCTTCATATCATGTTTCACATTTAATTTTTTAATGGCCACATAAGGAATCAGGGTGAGTATATATTCCTTTTTTCTGAAGAAGAGCATGAGGTAGAAAGTGGTTGTGTTCAGTTTCCTTGAGCCATCATCCACATTTTTCTGTGGAGTGTTCCTTGACCCCACTATTGGATAATTTATGGCACTTTTTCATGGATGTCCACATACAGTGGATGTGCATTCATTTATGATTTCCTGTGATGTGTCCTTTTTTCCAGGCAAAGGGTGGAGGTTATGAAAGTGAAGATGCCTATCAAAATGCAGAACTAATTTTTTTGGATATCCACAATATTCATGTTATGAGAGAATCATTACGAAAACTTAAGGAGATTGTATATCCCAACATTGAAGAAACTCACTGGTTGTCTAACTTGGAATCTACTCACTGGCTAGAACATATTAAGGTGAGTATATGTTACTATTTCCCAAACACAGACTTCCTCTATCCTTTGTCTATATTGGCTGTTTTCTTATAATTGAAATCAACGTCAAGCTACCTTTCTGAACAGTGAAAAATTGATAACTGCTTTGATAATTAGAACTACTTCTGTTGTTTGAATGAATTAGTTTCCTGTATTGTCCATTTGGTGCTGTTGTACTTATTTTTTTCTCTCTCTTTCCCATTCTATCTGAATTCTATCCATCCTTCAGATCTCAGTTAATATTTCATTTCTTTCATAAAGTCTTTTCAGGTCATATTGATTTTCATTTTCTCTAAACTCTTCACTATGCCTTTTCTTTCCATTTAATCAGGTGCTACCCTGTACTTCATTTATTTGCTTTTGTGTTTCAACCAACATATATAGCTAACTCATGGACTGGATATTCTTATTTCTTTTTTGTCCCCTCAGGAGTTAGGGCAGCACTATCTGTGAATAAGTACCTAATATTGTTGCATGATTTGTGAAATTAAAAACTGATCAGGGAGGGCCGAGCCCGTGGGGCACTCGGGAGAGTGCGGCGCTGGGAGCGCAGCAGCGCTTCCCGCCGCGGGTTCGGATCCTATATAAGGATGACCGGTGCGCTCACAGCGCTCACTGGCT